ATGTGAAGGATGCTGAGGTACAGCTGAAACTCATCAACAGCCACAGCTGTAGGTAACTTTAACAGCAGTGTTCTCACCACAGAGAATCACCCATAAAAGTTGCAACCAGTGTGGAAAGCTTATATTTGGCCTTTACAGTGGCAACTTGGAGCACTGATCACATTGCCCAGGAAGCCTGTTACTCCAGAATAGAGGATTCACCTCTAAGGCACATGAGAAGACACTCTGGAGCTGCATTAGCAGAAAAGCAAAATGAGAAGTTCATCGAAGAGACAGCTCAGAGGTCACAGACTGACCTCAGCAGTCCACCAAAACTCTAAATCTGTGTGGGTATGAATGAGCAGAGCTGTGCTTTAGATGCCTGCTAAAGCACTGAACCAACTTTAGCAGGGGATTGGACCAGATGATCTTCAGAGGTCACTTCCAACCACAACCATTCTGTGACTGGTTATAGATGATACATGGCTCACTGGAAACAAAAATTACTTGAACCTCCTTCGTATATGCTGAGGAACATCAGACCTTGTCCTGGGAGTCAAACCTTAGCATCAAATTTAAGCTAGACACAAAAGCACATACAAGACATGTTCACACACTCCCTCTTCCTGGGCTGATGTACCCCTAAGCATGCAGGAAACATGCCCACAGCTGAACCCAGGCCAGCCAGATCAAAAAGCTCACAAGGGCCTCCTACACCAGCCACGGACTGGGGGAGCACCACTGCTGGCTAATACTGCCTATGAGAGGTAGGAAGGTGTGTACAGTGCAGACCCCTCCACTACTTTCCAAGGTAACTTCAGTCCCACAGCTTTTTTGGCTGAATCTTTGCTCCTCAAACAGGTTGCAAAGGTGTGGAGCTGCTTTCTGCCTCACTTCTCAAGACCAAAGGATTTTGGAGGACACTTGGCAGTGGGTCTGTGTGGCAAACCAGGGCTCCTGCCCTGCTGCTTTGCACTCACTGTCCTACACAGTATATCCTGATGGGCTGCTGCAGTGGGGTGAGAAACAACCTGCATGCTTGGTTTGCCTTCTTCTAAAAGGACTGCGGAATTTCCCTGGGAAAAAAAGTGACACCAGAAGCATCATATATGCAAAGAAAGGCACTTGGCCCATGAAGTGGTAATTTCAGTGTCATCTACGTGATCTTCACTCTGCTGCTTTGTTGACATGTTTATAACCACAACTAGCTGCATGACCATGTCCTGTTTTCCTGCAGAATTAGGCCTGGTCCTACACTTGGGGTAGCAGAACTCAAAGGCAATGTGGGGTACTGGCCAGGAAAATGGGCAAGCCCAAAAGGCCTGAGGCACTGTACTACCAACCAGAGGCATTAGCTCACTGTCCTTGTCCAATGCTAAAGTCTTCACAGGGCTCTTAAACAACCAAGGTAAGTGGCTGGCAGAAGAGGAAGAGTTACCTCCTTCATGCAGCACTAGATTAGGACATATGCTGTAGTTTCAGCTTTGCAGATGCTAAGGGACTTGCCCAAGGTCACACAGGAAATCTCTGTGGCTCAGTTCTGCATCAAAGAAAGATGATAAAATTTCCTGACCGCTCTGGAGGATGGTACAAGATGTTGAGGTAGCACAAGAAGGGAGGAAAAGCAGGGAAAGTACTTGTTACATGCTAACTTGAGCTTGGCAAAGATAAGATGCTTCAAAGAGCAAGGCTGGCAACAGAGATCAGTCACTTCCCATGAGGCACAGATATTAAAACTGTGCCTCTTGCTAAAAAACACTCAACATAAATAGTTCTCTCAAAAAAAAACCAACCTTAAACAGAAAGGAGCAACTGTAGTAGATAGTCGCATCCATCGCCCAGAAACAGTCTTCCCCTTTGTCCCTGCTCTGCAGCCACACAAAACCCCAAAGACTTTTAGTTGCATTTCCCACCTCAGAGGATCCAGCCTGAATTAGGAAGAAGAGAGACCCAGCCTCTTTGCTAAGGCTCCATTGTAGATACATACAATTACATTCACAATTGAGTCTAGCTGCAGGAAACCAGAGGCACCTTCCACAGATAAGAGCGATGTTACTGCCGCACTTCACAGGCTTTCGTAACGTACATACCACAGTGCTCCAAAACTCACTTTTCACTGACCCACTTTCCACTGAGAAGGAAGTTCACCCGATTTATCTGGACTTTCTGCTTTTCCTTGCTCACTCTCAGGAATGCTGTCTGCATGTTAATGCAAGTGAGGGGAGCCAGGGGAACTGTTGGCAACACCATCCACTTCAGATCTGGGACAATACACAGTATTAAGACAACACATTCAGGCCCCATGGAGAAGGAGCACCCAAACACCCTCAGATGACTCTTGCCAGCTGACTCCAAGTCCAACAGTGAAGAGCTCCCTAGACATGACAGAATTTGGCTGCTGCAGGGAGAAAAGCATTGCTCTAGGGGAGGCTCTTTAGGCTGGAAAGAAGCAAGGAGGAGATTCCTTACAACTTTACCCTCAGTCTCTTCCCAGCCTTGTAATGCCTTTCTACATGGTACAAGACCCAGGATCTCAACAAACCACAGCAATCCTAAAGAGACCACCAGGGGCTCCAGAACAGTGTGCAGAAGAGCAGTTTCCTCAGCCTAGCCACAAGTCATCTTGCCATAAAACCCAGCTCTGCACTACCTTTGACTACTCTCTCATAGCAGAAACTGCCACCGGCCCCTACTTTAAACAAAGAACCTAACCTTCAAACCACATAAAGCATCCAGAGGAGGGGAAGGCCCCAGCAGCATGCCAGAGGAAGTCAGCTTAGCGAGGAGACACAAACCTTACTGCTCTGCCTTGATGTCAGGCTCAGCCACAGGGGCTCTTCCAAAAGGTTCACCTGGGCATCAATCACCTTGACCACAGCCAACACAGGTGTGTGCACCTCCTCCCAGAGGCATGCAGGAGGTCACACCTTAGCTAGGAGTGGTGGCTGCACAGCCCATGACAAGGTTTCTGGGAAGCCAAGGAAGATCCCAAGGGATCCCAAGTGGATCTGACAGACAGCCACACTATGTGGTGGATCTAGCAAGTGCCTTAAGGCTACAGACCCACAGAGTTGTGTCCCAGGTAGCTGCACCTCCTGCACACTGCAGATCAATATGTGCCCAAGTTCTTAGCACACCCATGGTCAGACACAAGCTCCCATGTGCTCCTGAGGAAGAAGTGGCAAGTGCTGCTGGTCCAACAGGTGACAGCCACAAGTGTCAGCCAAGCCAAAACCAAAAGCACCTCCACTATAACCTTTTCTTTGTCTTTTTTAACACCCTTGTCCATCCCCGGATCACCAACACAGACTGCTGCTAGTACAGTTACCACAGCTCGCTGTGAGCCTGCTGCTTCAACTAAGGCATGCCTGCACCGGCTGAGCCATGCATTCAGCCAACGCAAACTACAACCTGTTAAAGCTGCATGAAGGTCGTCACAGCCCGATACACCAGAACACAGGTCACTGGTGCTGCCAAACTCCACAAGGCCTCTTTCAGCCTCCTCAAGCATCCATGGTGGGTTTTGGCCTGTCTGGTGAAGTTCTTTTCAACATCAGGTCCTCTAAAGAACTCAACATTGCCTGCATTTTTGGCTGCTGAGCATCCCACACACTGGCTCTGAAAAGGCTCCATGCCAGCTGTCTATAGGTTAACAGAAGGAATACCCACTCCACGTTTTGCACTCCTGTTAACAGGACAGTCCCTGGGCTGTTTTAAACCAGCATTGCCAGACACAGTTTACCAAACACAGGCAGCATTTGCAATGCTGTTCAAATGTCAGACTCAAAGCTCTCCTCCTCCAGAGGAGCTCTCAGACCAGAGCTATGCTGGACAGGAGACGGGAACACACCTAAACATCACTACAGCATGCAGGATGCCAAACCCACTTCCAGACCCACCATCCCAACGTCCTTAACATGAAAACAAGAGGTTTTGTGTGAAGGAAGAGACCCAGCAGTCCTGTGGCCCTGCCAACCCTTGCTTCCCTTCCCCTCGCTTCCAGCCATCTTTAGCCCCTACACCACCAACGGGACACTCACCTTGAGGATTTTCACGACGACCCTCTCGTTGTTGGTGATGTTGATGGCCTCAAAGACCTCACTGTACTTGCCGCGCCCGAGCTTTCGAACCAGCTGGTAGTCGTCCTGATTGCTGAGGGCACCAAGAGGAGAGAGGGAGGGGACGGTAACTGACGGGACAGCAGGCCGGGGCTGGTGGGGGCTCTCCCGGCGACCCCTCAGCCCCCAGGGGACACCCCAAAACGGGGGGGAGGGGATCGGCCACGGAACCCTCTCGGTGGGCTGAGGCCCGTAGGAGGGTGCGGAGAGGGCGGGGAAAGGGATGGGAGAAAAGGGTCCCCGCGGGGCGCTTTACCCCCAGCTCGGGACGTGCGCCTCGTAGTCCCAGTACTCGCGGCTCTTCAGGCTGTTCACCTCGGCGTACACCCGCGACCGGCTGCCAACGGCCGGGCCGGGCATGGCGGCGCCGGGCGGCGATTGCAGGAGGAGAAGGAGGGCGCGGGGCCGGCGAGGTAGGCCGGCGAGGCGGAGCGCGGCGCGCAGGAGGGCGACAGCGGGAGGCGGCAGGGCCAGACCGAGCGGGGCAGCACGGCGCGGCCTGGGGTGGGGCAGGGCGGGGGGGGGCGGGGCCGGCCGGGGGGCGGCGGGCTCGGGGCCCGCACGGAGCGCGCCGAGGCCCGTGCCCGGTGCCGGCGGCTGCAGCCTGGGCCGGCCCCGTGCGCCGCGCGGCCAACCCGGAAAACGCGCCTTCGAGAGAGGTCGGCACAACCGTCCGCCGCGCAGCGCCCCCTGGCGGCCCGGAGGTCCAGCCCGTCCGACCGCTCGGCACAACCCCTGTCGCGCTATGGCAGCCGTCAGCTCCCCGTCAGTCACCCCTCCTGTCACCCCTCCTGTCACCCCCGCTCATCCCCCATCAGACTCCTTCGGTCTCCACCACGGCTCCTTCACTCCTGCCCTGGCCAGGCCACCTCAACCTCCCCACACCCTGCTCGGCCGCCGCTCGTCACCTCCTGTCACTCCCAGGGTAGGACCTGGGCACAGGGCGGGGGGACCGACACCATGTTCTTCTGGAGGTGCTGCACAGAGCCACGGGGTGAGTTGAGACTGCTCCAAACCCTGCCCCTGCAGGGCCACTCAGAGCAGGCACCTTGCACCGTGTCATGGGGTCACAGAACCCCAAACTGGTTTGGGCTGGGACCTTAAAACCTCACCCACTTCCACCCCCCTGCCACAGGCAGGGACCCCTTCCACTGGAGCAGCTTGCTCCAAGCCCCTGTGTCCAACCTGGCCTTGAACACTGCCAGGGATGGGGCAGCCACAGCTTCTCTGGGCACTCTGTGCCAGCGCCTCAGCACCCTCACAGGGAAGAGCTTCTGCCTAAGAGCTCAGCTCAGTGTCCCCTCTGTCAGGTTAAAGCCATTCCCCCTTGTCCTGTCCCTACAGGCCCTTGTCCCAAGCCCCTCTCCAGCTGTTTTTGTCTCTACAGAAAGATCCAGCTGTCGTTAGTCTGATTCCCAGGGCAAAGTAAATGAAAATATGTTTTTGGCCATTACAACCACCTGGAGCACCTGTACAGAGCTATAAACTTCTTAAAACCTGCACCCCACTTCCTGCAGCTGCAGAACGTCTGGCACAACATTGCGGGACCCTCCAGTTATGGCACCCGTGCCCACCATCCCACCATGGGTCACCCAGGTGCCTCTCCTCATCCCATCGAATGATGAAATACAGGCTGTCTCAGGTGGGAGCATTACAGACTCTGGGCCCATGCAGAGGCCTGAGTTTATAATCTCTGTGGTCTTACTCAGCCACCTCACACAGCAACTGCTTTTAACGTAGCTGTTTATTCATGATCCCATATCATGAATTAAACCCCATGTTAAGCCCCATGAAACCCCATGTTAAGCTTTTTCATGGGAGCCCCATCCCACCTTGCATACAAAGAGGACATCCAGGCTGTGTCACATATGTGCTATCCTCTTCCTCCTCATCTCAAAATGCTTGAGTTCTGGCATGGAATTGTGTATGTTACAAAGATCCTTCAATGAGGGGTGTCCATTCCTGCACAAAACGAGGCTGGGAAGCATCCCCCGGTTCCTCCCATGGACTGGATGTGGTTATGACTCAAAATGTGTTTTGCAATAGACTTTTGACATGTTCTGGCCAGAAATAGGACCGTCATTGCCAGAACATTGATTTTTCTCCTGTACATAGAATTAGGTTGACTTGCATCCCTCACCCCAGAAAAGCTGTGGAGATGCATGATGGGCAACATCAGCAGTTTGTGGGGGAAGAGGTGCACATCTAAAAAGCCCTGTCACCCATCACTGTTGGTCCTGATCATTCAGCACAGGGAAGTCCAAGACACATACTGGGCCAGGGCCTGCATCCAACACTTAGAAATGATATTCCACACCCTTCCAAAGCTCCTAAAATCAGACATACTGTGGGGGCAGCTGCCTTCAGGACTGGTGCTGCTGTTCCCCCAGTTTTACAGCCAGATCATGATAAAGCAGAGTCTGTAAGAATGCTACAGCATCCACAGCAGAGAACCCCCCACCGAGGTGCAAATGCATCCCTGCTGGAGAGCTGGAGGCTCTCAGTGGCCAGTGCCTTCCCAGAACAGGGCTGATTTGCTAGAGCTTTGGTGGTTGGAGACGGAAGCTGGCCCGTGTGGGGACCAGCGGTGAGATGCCGGGTCAGCAGTGGTCCGGAGATCCCAGCCCCAGGAGCGGGTGACAGTTCCATGGACCTGAATGTCAACAGGATGCTCATACACAGAGTTCAGATGGTGCCTGTGCACTTCCCCCAGTTGGAATAGCCATGCAGCTTTCTGCCTCCTGTTTGGTGATTCCAGCCTGACCTTCAGGGTGGGGATCATCACATGGCCCATACACACAGCTATGGATTTAGGATTTTGTTTGTTTTTATTTTCTTCCTGGCTGCAGGGAACCAGACCTGCCTGGAAAAACAAGGCAATTTTTCATTATTTCATTATTTACTTTGAGTGCAGTGAGGCCCTGGCACAGGTTACTCAGAGAAGCTGTGGCTGCCCCATCCCTGGCAGTGCTCAAGGCTGGCTTGGACAGGGCCTGGAGCAACCTGGTCTGGTAGAAGGTGTCCCTGCCCATGTCAGGGGGTTGGAACTGGATGAGCTTTGAGGTCACTTCCAACCCAAACCAGTCTGGGATTCCACGATTCTATGTTGCTGCCTTCTGCAGGGGATGTGTGGTGCTGCAGAGCTCTCTTGGGAGCTGAGACCAAGCTGAAGGAGCAGAGGGATGGCTTTGGAGGTGGCTGGGAGGTGCTGCTGCACCCCCTGATGCTGTTCTCTTGTTCCAGATGAAGCTGCAGGATGTCATGGAAACATACATGTCTCTGATGAAAGACATTTCCCAGAGGAAGGAGCTGCTGATCAAAACTGAGAGACACTGCTGTCATGGAGGAGGTGAGACAGCAATCTGGGAGGCCCTGAGGCTTCACCTGGGAGGAGTCGTCTGAGGTATTTTTTGTGGTGTGGTGGATACTGATGCCCATTTGGGGCCCAGCAATGAGCTGTGTGCCTTTCTGGGTCTGAGCAGGTCCCGGGGCTCCTGCTGTGCTTGTGAGCATGGGCAGGTTTGCAGAACAGGCCAGGTTGTGGGTTTTGGTCCTGGCTCCACAGGGACTGCCATTGGCTTCTTCAAGTTCTGTTTCCTTGACATTTTCATCAGCAGTGTTGTCCCCAGGGAGCAGTGGCACTGCTGTCACACCAGCCTGGGGACACATCGCCTGGCAGGGATGGGGCAGGTACAGCCATCCTGATGGAGTCCTGACAAAGCCCTGACAAAGGAGGAAGTTGGCTCCTGAGCCCACTGGGGCTATGTGACTATTTCTGACCACAGACTGGACTAGGGTATAAATGGAGCTCTACAAGAGAGCTGTTTGGGGTCGTTCCTCATTGAAGCAGCAGGTCTGCAGTCAGAGATGCTGTCCAAGGGAACTCTTTGAGGTTGAGAGCTGTCCCTTTTTAGGTGAAGGATTGCACATTTTGGATCATTTGCCATAAAGTTTAAGAATCAGCAATGCAGTGACAAATCCATGTGACTTCCTGAAGCTGCAGTTGATGTTGGTGGACCTTTAATTGAGTTTGAGCAATAAATATTGTTTAGCCTCAATTTATTGGTTTCATGACGGGGGAATCACACCTTTGGGCAGCAGGTTCAAGGGGCTCCCTAGCAGTTCTGCCTGGCAGGGATGAAGGCACTGGAGATGCATCCCACTGCTCCTCTGCAGGGCCAGGAGGTTAATTTATCCTGCCTGCGAGCCTGCTTCCTGGAGGACTGGCCACCAGCTGGCACAGGGACTATTCCCTAGGATCTCCTTGCCCTCTGTCCCTACTCCTCCAGTAGCAGAGCCAAAGCTGAGAGTGTGGCAACTGTGGAAACAGCTCTCAGACTAAAGCATCACCCCTGTGCTGAGCTGTGTGCAGAAGGAAATGTCAGTTTCTGAGCTGAAAACAGCCTCAAGGCCTGGGAGAGGAAGGTGGCACTTGTTGAAGCTGGGCTAGGTGTGCAGGAGCCTGAATGTGTGCATGCAGCTGGGTGCTGGTGGAGCAATGTCTGTGCCTGCCCACCCTGGGCACCAGCGTGCTCACTCCAGACCTGCAGGCAGCTGTGCAGGAGTCCTCGCACTGCAGTTTCACTGGTGTTGGCAGAGCTGGAGGCTCTTCCTGTTTATGGAGCAGTGATCGCTCTGTGCCCCGAGGTTGGAGGCAGAATTTCAGTGACTGAGCTCAGGGGACAAGCCAAGGCAAGGACACAGCTTGTAATGTGACAGGAAGCACCATCTGGCTGTTGCTGTGCTGAAACCTGATGTGTGTTAGGAGAAGGGAACGTATGGCATCCCAGTAATTTCAGGTCTGCATATGCAACCTGCACCAGGGTCTTTTCCAGTGTCCCAACAGCTCCACAGTGCTTGTAGTCCTCTTTGATGACCTCAGACATTTCTTACTCACTTGTATCTTGACTCCTCCCTGATAAGGACAGGCTGGCCAAGATACAATCATGATTGGGTGGTGAGGTTGCAAGAATGTCTTTGACTCTTCTACTGCCCCAACTCCTGCAGCCTGGGAGGAGATGGAGAGATAACACAGAGGAACAGTTAAAGCCTGCAGGTAGCAGGACATGTCTGTATCTTTGCCCCATGTGCACAGCAGTGTGGGGAGAAAAGAGGAGGGGTTGCATGGGATGAATAGTGAGGTCCTGTTCCTTGACACCCTGTGGTCCTCAAGTGGGAATGGCTTAGCTGTGGCTGGGAGAGGGAAGGCCAGCCCAGCACTCAGCACCCTAGCACACCAAACTGCAATGCATAGGGCTTGTGTAGTCCTGCCTTTTTCAGAGGTTAGAACTGTGTGGATTTGGGCTTGACCCAGCGCTCTGAGCTCAGAAATAGGGGTCTGGCTGAAGGACAGCAGGCTGTCTTTGCACAAGCAGATTCCCTCTCACACAGGTGCTCCCCTTGGCCAGGAGAACCAGGCTCTGACTTGCATACAGCAGTGCCCAGAGTCCTGCCAGCCTTGCAAGCTTGAGAGCAGCGGGGGCTCAGGGGGCTAAAGAATAAACCTGTAGTTGTCCCTGGGGTAAGGGTGAGGCTTCTGGCCCCTCTCAGGCAGAGCACATCCAACACCCCTCTGTCATACAAGGAGCTGTAGGTTTCTCTACAGTGCTGCTGTTTGGGGTCTCCAGACTTCCTTGGCGTTCAGGGGAGCTCTCCTCAGCATGCCATAGCAAGCACCTTTCTCAGAGAGGAGCAGGAAGATGGAGGAGCATCCAGTACAGCAGCTCAGCCCAGGCTACACGCAGCTTTCTCCGTAACATATCACTGCTGTCTGAACATATTAAGGCCTTTTCATTTCTCCTCTTGAAGACGTCCCTGCAAATCTACTGCAGAGCATAGAACCACATCAAGAGGCCTGGTAATGAGCACTAGGCTTGTTTGATGCTGCAAGGTGGGCAGAAGAACCTGCAGAAGCCAGTCCTGTAGGGAAGTTTGTTGTCAAGTGGCTGAATGTAGCACTCTGCAAGCTGCAATGATATGAAACCACTTCTGCATTAAATAATAAAGAGACCTGTAGCTGTGTTGTGAGATCATCTCACAACAGAGGGGAGATCATCTGTTGTGAGACCAATCTCACAGAGGGGACACTGAGATGAGCTCTTAGGCAGAAGCTCTTCCCTGTGAGGGTGCTGAGGCCCTGGCACAGGGTGCCCAGAGAAGCTGTGGCTGCCCCATCCCTGGCAGTGCTCAAGGCCAGGTTGGACACAGGGGCTTGGAGCACCCTGGTCTAGTGGAAGGTGTCCCTGCCTGTGGCTAGGGGTTGGAACTGGATGAGCTTTAAGGTCCCTTCCAACCCAAACCAGTCTGGGATGCTATAATGCTCTGGTGATCAAATCTGACATGTTCACAAGAACTGTCCTTTCTCTCTGGGCAAGTCCCGGTAATCACTTAACGTGGGAGGGACCAGAGGGGATTCCCTGGGAGACATGGGAGTGCAACATCTCCGGCTGTGTACTGGCCACAGAAGAGAGCAAAGCAGTGTGAGCATACAGGGCAAATCATTTCAACATGACATGCATGAACCAACCAGACCTTCTGATCACAAAAGGATACTTCATTTACCTAAGGAAACAACAAGATGGGAGCTGTTACCCCTTTCCCACGCAGCTGGCGCAAGTACAAGTGTCTTTTGGACTTTTGTCCTCAGACTTGGTTCCCTGTTGTGAAGCATGTCTCTTCAGTCCTCTCCTTGGCATTTTGTGCTTCTTTTGTGTTTTCAGGTCACAACACCCCCCTTGCGGCAAGACTTAGCACAAAGGTCCTGACTGGCCAGGTGCCCAACAGGAACAATGCACCTTGTCTTTGCTGAGAAACACTGAGAGAAAACAGCTCTTGACCACTGGTGCCTTCAACTCTTACAGGATTACTCACTGGTGGTTTAAATCCTGCCTTGGAGACAAAGGAAGGCAGAAAGCAGAGGGCAATTAGGTTTGGGGCAGGCCAGATGACAAAGTCTCCAAGCTGAGTCCTTCTAGTGGTAGTAGTCCTGGTATGTATGATGTCCTGGAAGTACAGCAGAACCTTTAGCAGAGGGCCCAGGGCAAGGCTGATCCCACACAAGAATGTCACTGTAGCTATCAAAAAGCCATTTCCATAGGCAGAACAGTGGGATCTGTCAGGAAAAGCAAACAGCAGTTAACAGGAAAAGTCTGGTCAGTCAGTAATGCCATTCTCTAAGGGATGTGCATGCCCTTAACTGGAGGACAGATCCATACTGAATTAACTTCTCTATTGTATGGATGATGACTCGATTTATTTCTAAAGGGTGCCCTTGCCAAAGGGCTCTGTGCCTGTATGCTTTATAATAAAACAATTTAAAACCCTGTTAATGCTGCAATCTTACCAGGCTAGCACAGGAAGGAGAAAGAAAGGGTCTTTTCCCTTCCCACAGAGCCAAGAGCTGCCAAGTTTACAGACACCACGGGAATGGAAAGAGTTTTAAATTATCTTTAAAGGGTGGAAGAGATTGACTGGGAAAGATTACAGATGGCCACAGGTTTTGCACTCAGAAATCACTGCTGTTTGATCATTACACTGAGGAAATCTGCCTCCTGACAATGTTCAAAAGCTTTCAAAGCAGTGGCAGGCTCAGATCATGTGGCTTAGTTTGCTCTCATTGTGCTGGTTACAAACCCCTTCCAGCTCTGGTCTCACTTGCTGAGACCGGAATTCCAGGTACAAATGTCTCTGACCTGTGTTTTCTCACCATCTCTAGATGTTCAGCAAAGACTCCAAAGCCTCAGGAGTTACCTTCCTGATGGATTTACAAACAAGGGATGCTGGATGCTTGGCTGGCTTTTGTGACAGAAATGAAGGATGCTCTTCATGACGCAGTAGGAATTACACTGCCACGGATCCTGAATCCAGAACACAGCCTTGCCTGGTTTATCTGTGTTGGAAAATCAGAATTGACAGTTTCAACTGCCAGCCTAAAACTACAATCTTTATACCTTTAATTGTTAAATACCATTAACATAACACTAGCAAGAGCTCTATCATCAGTGCCCTGATGGATTTCTGTTTGCCAGCACATTCTGCATTTTAATGCCAATCTTCTCATACCTGAAAAAGCAGAGCAGTAAACATCCCAAATGGAACATCTTCAATGAGATGCCAGTTAATGGAAAAGACAGGATCAAGAGCCTGACATGCACTGTTCTGTGTGTTTATGTCTTGTACTGGCTCTGTACAACAGCAGGTGCGGTATAGCTGAGTGAGCATGAAGGACTCAGAAAACAGTGTGACTTAGTTGACTGGTTTTCTTCACAGTGGTGAGAAACTTAAGGTAAGGGAATTGAAAAGGGAATTCCTGACCCAATTACCCCTCTTTTAGTTTAAAACCATTACCCCTTATCCTATCGCAATGGGAATACTTGAGATTCACAGCTTCTGCCAGGCCAGCAGTCTATGGCACCATTCCCACCAGCCAGGACCTCTTTCCTAATTATGATTTTCCCAGTTTTGTTCATGTGTTTCCCTGAAAGTCCCATCCCTTTGGTCTTAACACCAAGGGTTGGGAGCATGCAAAGAGAAGTCTCCTTAACACTCCAGTCCCTGCCTTGGATTGGAGCACCACTGGCTTCCCAGGGCTTCCCCAGAGCAATAGCTGGAATTCACAAAGCAATGTTCTTGATTTAAGTGGTAGTGTAATCTGTGCTACAAATTCTTCTCTCCTAGGAGGAGATTCCATGCAGACCAATGGCTCTTGCAGTTTCTGCCTTCATCCCTGCCTACATCCAGCTATCCTGCCTTATCTATGTAAGGATATAAAAGCACCCTAAAATTTTCTTGTGTGGGAACTGGACTGTTCTGCCATCTGCAAAGCTGCAGGACACCTGATGACACTGACCTGAAGACCTGACATCCAATGACTAATGCAATAGTTGGCATTGCAGAACAGTATCATACTTGATGGCCTGGGACAGAAAGCTGGACCTGGGCCAAGATGCAGCACAGAGATACTTTTATGAACAACTCTGCCCACTGGGTACTGGGCACTTTGCAGTAGGAGGCAGACGCTGGTACAGCCTATCCACACTTGTGGAATTGCCACAGGGCCACTTGCCTCCGAGCACACTTACCTTTCACCTGACCCCACACTCTTTCCCAGACACCGTTTCCGAGGTCGTGGGAAACCTAAAATTCTCGTCAAAGGTCAGCTAAAGGTCTCTCCTCTAATCACTGAATTTTCTGGCTTAATCCAAAGCTTACTTTGAACCCCAGCTAACAGACTGTCAGCACGGGCAGAAGGTCAGGAACTGCAAGCACTCAAGCTACTAATGCGGTGGAGACCTGGCCATTAATACGAGTGTGCTGCTGTGCTAATCTAATCAGTCTGTGAAGCTCGAGTGTTATTTTGCAATGTGACTCCCCTCACTAGAGCTCAGATCAGTATTTCAAACCATTTGCGAGCTGCCTCACAACCTCAAACGTTATTCCTTTGGTCTAGCTGCCGGTCTGGGCACAAGGCACACAGCTTAGTTTGGGATCTGTAAGCAACTTGAGCAAATCTCAAAATCTTGGCTGCTTAACATAAACCTATGAGCTTATATGAAGGAGAGGGCATGGCTATCACCAGGACGACGGCTGCTGTGACTTACTCTGCAGGAACACAGGGAAAAGGAATGCAGCCACTTGTCATAACCATGCTGCAGTAAGGGCTTGTAGACGTGACTATTTACAGAGCTCAGAAAAATGGGAGGAAGCTTGATAAACTGTTCCCAGTGCTCTGCTAGTCATTAACATGAGGATAAGGACTTGGGGGTGCTGGTGGCTGAAAGACTGGACATGAGCAGGCAATGTTAATGGTTCAAACTGAAACAGGAGAAGTTCAGGTTGAATATAAGGAAGAAGTTCTTTACTGTGAGGGTGGTGAGGCACTGGAATGGGTTGCCCAAAGAACATCAGGATTAATCTTACAAAGCAAGCTAATGCATTTTGTACCAATCAGCCCAGCAAAGAAGGAGTCACTCCAGATGCACACACAGATGCGTGAGGCACAGCAGCTGAGGTGACTTGTGGAAACACAGCTTATTTCTATAACCATCACTGAGTGATGGAGCTGGGGAGGATGCTGCTCTGAACTGCTGCCTGCAATGGAGTCTAAACCTTCACACACTGCCCACACCTGCATGCTTCAATACAGGATCTGTTTTAACACATCCTTTGTGTCTTTTACTCTGCACACATCAGAAGAGGAGGACTTAAAAAATGGGCTTCTCAAGTCAGGGTCTCTGTCCATACTGAGGGCACTGAAAACATGAACTTGCTTCTGATCTTCAGGAATGCTGAATACTTATTTGATGCCATGAAAATATCTGAGGCCATTTATTTGGCTTCAATGTATCGGGCTCAGGAACCTGATTTTATGAACTGCATTGGAAAGTTCAGCAAAGCTCTTATCCCCACGAGATTGACACAAGGGTCCTCCACAAAATGCTTGTGACTTTGTAGGGCATGAGTCATGGTCAGAGTATCATAGATGCTGCCATTTCTGCCCTCTTCACTTAAAGGGCTTGGTATTTACACTGCTGCCTTCTCAACACTGCCCAAGCAGTAAGTAACATGCCAGCAAAACTGACTTGTGCACCTAATGTTGGGCACTGCATGACTGTGTCTCTGTCCTGGAGGTTTTTGGACTAAACAAGATCACTCTTTACCTTTCTAGATCTGCATGTGATGATGAACATCTTCCCAGAAGCACTGAGAGAAAAAAGACATATTCTGATGTTTATAGATGTCAATAAGATCTAGTTTCCAGCTGCAATAGTAAGCAGTGGTTTGGAATCTGCCTACTTCCTAGACAGATGTTCATGGCTTAGGCTTCCTGGACCTTCCCAAGATTTTAGGGTGAAGGAGAAGGGCTGGTGTTGTATGATGTATTCCCTGGTGGGCAATACTAACTCCCAGGCTCAGTTTCTTGCAGCAGGACTCCCATCATCAATTCCTCATTAGGGAAGGACCGAGATTCAGATTACATGGGCTACAGTGATATTTCTGAAGAGCTTATTCCCCACACTACAAACCACATGCTTACAGAAACTTTGACGCTTTTAAATTAGCAGTTATTTCATTTCTGTCAACACCCTGCTGTTCCTTTGAGACTATTCTGAAATATAAAGCTTGCTCATTAATCACTTCAAGGTTTAATTACAATGCCTCCAAGCGAAATTTCAAGCCAGCCAAACTTTCAGAGCCACAGAAGAGACAGACAGGCATACCCATAGCAACTTAATACTTTAAAAAAGATTATTATGAACATGATTAATGTTACTGATTTCCCAGTAGCATTATTTCATCTTTCAGATACAGAGCGTGTTAACTGGAGTGTGCAGAAGCCAGTGTTGTACCTGTTGAGCCATCTGTGGGCTGGTGTATTCCACCCAAACCACAACTGCAAGAGTCAGTCTGTATTTCTGCAAGCACAGGAGGAGGAAAGACGGGCATCATTACATAGCTCCAAAGAAAACATGCACCCATCCTGCTGGATGGACAGCCTTCCCGCTGGGTGAGGTACAGGTACACTAAAAATCAAATCGCCTTGGGCTAGTAATCACAGCACAGCTGGAAGCCAGAAATGACGGCAACACTTGCTGTTTGTTGGAAACCACAGCAACTGGAATGTCAGG